GCTTAGATATCGAAAAAAATGCTTAAACATCCTATTTCTCCAAGTGCTTGCGAGGGTCTTACTGTCGAAGCCTCTGCCGTCGCAGCATGTGGCACCAGCGAACCACCTGTCCTCTGCCACCTCAAGTGGGAACCAGCTGAAGCATCCCGGCTGTTCAGATGGAAGTCATGTATTCATTCAAAAAGGCTCACTGGATGCAGCTCAGTTGGAAATACTTAGATACAGGTTTGCACCAAATCTGCTTCAAGTTTCCAGTCCTTCTCAGCCTCAGGAGCGCTCCAGGACCAAGACCCATCTGATCCATCTTCCAACCCGCGAAGCCGACCTCCATCCTCTCAGCCATCAGCCGCATTGCGCCCAAGACGCCGACCAGGCCGAGGAGAAGGCGGCCGCCACGGCGTCCCCGCCTTCGCGGTGCCATCAGGGCCAATCAACGAGGTGCTTCTCAACCGCCCCAAGGAGTCCTTGGAACTCCCGAAGACTCGGCGGCAGCACTCTGCGCTCGGGCCGGTGGCTGCAAGCTTAGCACTGGTTGGAGCAAACTTAATCAAACATGCTCTTGCCGACCTGCGACTCTAGTGCTAAAGAATTTGAAGAAACAAACTTCCTGTCACACAAATCAATAATCGCTCAAGTTGCAGAAAGCAGGCTGGAAAATGTAAATGTGCGCATGAAAAATGGTTTCGTGTGTTCCCATCTCTTATTATCAGATCAAATGCTGTTTATGGAGCCTTTTCCCTGCAGGACTCGCCATTCAAATCAATTCAATGCATTTGTCATGTCTGTTTACCTTCCACTTGACAGGGACATTTGGAACTCCATGAGCAAACCGACCGCAACCCGTCGCGCCTAGCATTTGGGTCCAGCAAAACAGTCTTCATTGCCAAGTGGCACCATATGCCGTAGGCCTATACAGTACACCCCATACAAAACCACCAGCATTGCTTTACATTGTCTTGGGCGGCGGTGATTCAAAATGAATTCCATTTCGATGGTCTGCCTTCTGTGGGGAGGCGAATGGTGTTACACCTCTTCTGCCCCTGGCCTCGTGGGTAGCCAAAAGAGAAAAAAAAACATCCGCTTGCTAGGTTGTCACTACCTAAAACCCCGCAACACAAAAAAGCTCCTCGCTGGCTTTGGACACAGCGTCGCTCACAAACATCAACACCTGGGCCTTCTTTGGATCCGAGAGCCCAAATCACTTCACACATTTCACACAAAACAAACTTCACCGATATTCGGATACTTGATGCACTTGATATTTGATGCACTTTCCTCTGCACCGGCCCCCCTTGAGAATGGCAGCGGCCCTTTTTGTTCCGACCTCCTGAGGTCCTAGCAGTTTTTGCTGCGATGAGTGGATGGGAGCCACGAAGCCGCTTTGCCAGCTCAGGCGGCAAAGCGTCGAATCGTCGGAGTTGCACTCTGAGCCACTCGTACTCTGCGTTTTCCAACGTTCGTTCCGGGAGCCGCCCGTGCACCTCCGTGATGTGGAGGACTTTCTCCAACTGCTTTTCCCATCGTGCCAGGTCAATCTTTAGTTCCCTGTCGTCCCATTCCTGCAAACGCTCTTTCACTAAAGGGTCCACTTCCTCCAGCATCTTCCTCCTCTCAGGCTTGTCATACAATCTCTTGTCTCGAAGATCCGCGAGCCACCTCGCCAGCCGGTTGCTGGAAGAGTCGCCCTTGGTTCGCGTCGCGGTTGGAAGTTTGCCATTCATCTCTATGTACT